AATAAAACATATATTTTATCTATAAACTATTGTCTGCCCGAACTGCCACAGACAGAAGAGTATAGTTTCTAGTTGTAATATAAATTATACTTACTTGTTGGACACCGCTATAAACCTGTAAAGGATCCCTGTAGCCATGTTATTGTTATAGTACTGCTATTAAGAAAGCCATGGTACTGTAACAATATCAATTGCATCACACAAAGCACTAGATGCTGCAAGGTATAACCCAATTTCTAGAGGGTAGCTATTTACAAACTTATTTTATATCCCTGCTATTAAATAGCATATATTAACAACTTTTTTTTTATCTTCTTTTTTATTATAAGCAGATCACCTGTCTGGAATAAATACGTTATATAATTTATTAAAAAATCTTTTTAATAATGGTTCTGCATTTTTAAGCATATTTCGAAAATTATCTGAATCTAATTCGAGTATTTGATTTTTTTTTCTCTGCTTTTCATATAACACTTTTGTCATCAAAGCAATCTTATCACCAAAAGATAACAGTTTAGAGACTACAATATCGGGCATATTATTAGCCAGTAAAGTATCATTATCCTTAGGATTAGAAGATTTGGCAATATATGTACTGTTAGTAGATGACTTATTTTTATTATGGCGATCAGGTTCGACGATGCTTAAATAATAAGAATAACATAATTGCATTTCGATTTTTAAATAATTATATTGATTAAGAATATCTTTTGCTTTGATTTTTGCTAGTGCATAATCGGTAATTCTACGATATTAATTTGAATTTGTCTGACAATTACGAATTGAACAAGGACTGTGATTTTTTTTTAGAAGCATTGTATATCTTAACACAAGGTAAATAACTAATTGCACAAGAATTGTTATAAATTAATAAGTATTAATATTTTTTTTTATTTTTGGAAAAATTTATTATAATAGTAAATAAAGAACTCTGAAATTTACAAAGTTTAAAATAGGTTAAATCGTGATCTTTTTATATTTTAGAGATACAAGAAGCGTAAAGATTTTGTTCGTTACATTTTTCGCTATATACTAAAAAAAATTTTCTATTTTTCCGTGTAGAATTCGATAATCGCTAATTAACAAGCTTTTTTTTTTTTTTTTTCTAAATTTAGGTTCCTTCATATCTATCGATTTTTCTACTAAGCTTTTGACACATCTATCGATTTTTCTACCAAGCCTTCGACACATCTATTGATTTTTCTACCAAGCCTTTAACACATCTATCGATTTTTCTA